TTCTTGTTGATTGGCTTGTGGTTTTGGGACTGTGAGGGTTTTGTGTTAGTGATCAGAAGTTTGCTTATATAGGGAAAAATTCGAGGGATGAGAAATGGGGTACGGTGGTGACAGCTGGTTCGGCTTATAGTTTGACCATGGAGGGGTGATGGAGGCAGTAAGATAATTATAAAAAAATGCAGAATAATTGCAGAGATTCTCAATCGATCCTTGTCTTATCATTCATTAGAATATATATATAAGTATATGTTAGTCTTTACGTAGCCAATGATGAAATGATGTAAAGCATGTACATCATATATTCCAAGGAGGTGGTGTACTATCTTGATCACAGAAGAACATGTCAAGCAATTGACTGCATGTCATATATATCATTAGAGAATTGCGGGCCTGCAATATTCTCTTCGCTTTGTTTTGATAACTCCGTGTGATATTCTCTTCAACCAAGCACACAGATTATTATAGAGAGTGAAAAGAAATTGGTATTGGCTAGCTCATGCCCTCTCTGTTCAAACTTCAAACAAATTGAGTCAAACATGAATTATGGAATAAACTTAAACGCGTTACCCACGCCTACCACTTTTTGTTTTTGTTTTTGTTTTTTTTGGTGCTTGTTTGATGGTTTCAACGGTTTTGATTTGTTATACAAAAGGAATGAAGAAATTGAAGAAAAGCAAATAAAATTGCAGTGCACAGTGCACAGCCACCCACTATTACATTAGCTGGACAAAATAATTGAACAGTTGGGGTACCCTCACCAAGACATAGTTTTCCTCCTCAACAAACAAATATGCTTTGCTTGCGACATTTTCTTAATCTCTATTTTGTCCAAATTCGTAAACAAAGACTTGCATATGTCAACTGATCTTATTCAATATATATAAACCTAATGATTATGGAAGGTTTCATGCCTCTGTACTATCCGGTGGATTTTAGAGTACTTGTATTGTATTGATTTTAGTTTTTCTTGTAGGTTTCATGCCTCTGCCTCTGGTATGGCTTATCTATTTTGGATAAAATGGACAATCCACCTTTTTATAGGACGACCACAAAGACTACGAGGGTGTCTTATTTCGAAACACTTGGAAAACATATTCAATTAGTTGAAAATTTTATAATAAGTATTTTATGTTAATAATTAGTTACGTATTTTTAATTTTAACTGTTGAATTGCATGTATATATGTTGCATATTAAATACACGTCTAATGAATACAATCCAATAACCGAGATTATAACGGGATATTTACCCCACTTTATTCTTCTTCTTATTGTTTACAAGTTTATGAATAATTATTGGGTGTAGTTAGTTGTTGACTACGTCCGCTAGCGGTTTGGGTGGAGAAAATTGCCCTTTGCTACAACCCTCACCCTGCTTACAAATTAATTTAATCGGTATGACCATAAATCAAGCTATTTGTTCTTAATTAACTATCTTTTCTAGTCTACAATTTCGGCATGCAAATCAACTATGAATGAATAAATATATTAAGGTTCACATGAATTCGGTGGCCAAACATTCTGGCTTAATTGTAAGAGCTAATTATGAGGTTGGTCTAATACATAGTTATTAACATGTAATCCAAATTATATATGTAAAGTAAAGTGGAAAATTAAGTTCCCTTCTGCTCCTAAATTTGTCCTTAACTACATTATTAAGAAATAATTAATCATATTCATTCCTTGTGAAAAATGTACCATATATTGTCAGTATAATGTACACACACAAAAATCCAACACCAACAACATCCACTAGGCGTAAATAAATAAATATTTTTTCTTCTCCCAAATAAACAAATAAAATACAATCAATTCACAATTATAACATACAGGTCCTGATCATAACCCCGCCGTGTATGGAACCCCGGTGGCTGGCAACCAGGACCGACCGGCGATAAGGCTGCTGACGGTGAACTTTGACGCCACATTTGCACTGGTGATGACATGAAAACCAGGCCACTTCACTCTGTACCTGGTAGACGAAGCAGGACCAAAATTCTTATACTCCGCATAATACAAAGTGCTAAGCGCAAAATTACTTCTTTGCCACTCCAACCAGCCCACTGGGTTCACCAAGCTGTCCAGATAACATTTCATGAAAACAACCCTAGAGTATTGCATCCAGGGCCGGCCCAAGTAGGTTTTGAAAGCAGTGACCACGGGCTTGAGATCTGCAGCGGCCCGAACTTGAGAATTATGGATTGAAATTGCAGTGTTTTGATATGGGTCGTTTCGGGCTTGGGCTGTGATGACGTTGACTTGGCCCTTCAAGGGCCTTCTCACATAAATAATGCAACTTTGGAAAACCGCAGCTGCGTTGCCAAAGATGAAGTCTATGGTGCCATATATGTAACATTCTCTGTAGAATTGGCGCTGAGAGTGCACCATGAGGGTGTCTTGGTAGCCTTGGAAAGCACACCGGTAGAAGACCGAGAGGTCTGAGGCCGACCGCAGAGCCACGGCTTGGCCCTTTAGTGGGCCGGCCGTGTTGCTAAATGTGATGCCACGAGCAATGAAGCCTGGACCGTCTATGCCTATAATAATCACATTTTGTAAGCAACCACAAAAGAAAACGTTAATTACTCAAGTTTTAGAAATTAAATCAAATTAGGGAAACAATTAGATATGGAGAGAGAAGTTATGTATATGTACCAGCAGTTGCGGAATTATAGGTTGTGGAACCTCCATTGACACTTCGGCTAGCTGTGATTATTGTATATCTCATGCTAGCACCAATCAGCATGATGTTATTATTAGTGTTGCTAACTTCAATGTTCTCTCTATAAACACCTTTCTTCACATAGATAATAAACCTACTAGTTATTTTCCTCTTAGCCGCTGCATCTATGGCCGCTTGAACCGTCCGAAAATGCCCCGATCCATCTTTGGCAACCACAAGATTTGCCTTGATTTTTGAAGCTTGCAACAGCCTCCGCTCGTGCTTCGAAACCCAATTCGGATACTCTTCATCTGCGTAATTTTCTTCCGTGCCTAAAAGTTGTGAACCAATTGCCAAACCGTTGCTAATTAGCTCAGACACATTGTTATTGGAGGTGTATATAGGGGCTATGAAATCCGAAACGTTCAGCTCCATAGACCCAACTTGGCACGTGTGAATGTTGGTGAGGGCAGCGCTGAGCCAAGTCTGTGCATCATCAAAGTTGGAGCAATTGCGTTTGGTGCCTAAGCCATCAAGGGTAATGTTGAGCTGGTGGACGGTGTCCTCGAAAAGTTTCAAGCAATCGGCCCATGCGGCTTTTTGTTGATTGTTTTGACAGTTTTGGCCAAATTGGGAGGCGTATGATTTTGCATTGAGAGCCCTCTCCAAGGCCACTTGCACCATCATTTTTCGAAATTCGGAGGTGTGTTTCGGCACGAGACGGTGACGGCTATGTGACATGCAGTAGTTGCATGGCTCGGGGTGGGGGGTTTTCTGGCACCACGTACGTATACGGTTAGAGTGGTGATGGCTTCTTGAGAGAGCTGTTTGGAAGATGAAAGAGAAAATGAGTATGGAGAGAAGTAGGCTTGGTTTCATGGGCATGTTTGATGAGCTTTGAAATGATTGTGTTTTGGGTTTTGGGTTTTGAGGGTCATATCTTGAGGGATTATTTCTCTTTTATGCGGGTAGGAGAAGGAAGATGTGGGGGGTAGATAGATAGGCTGGCTTGTTTGACATATAAAAGATGGCAGGCAAGATGTGTGTAAATGCATGATGAGTAAGATTGCAACACAAGATATACCATGTTGGCTTTACGTAGAATTGTGTGCAAATGATAATATTATAATTTCTTTTAAATACTTCACGGATGATGCAACATGCATGTTAACTACATATTTCGAATCTTAGTATTGAGAGCTGAGGACGATATTGAATTATTGCGCTGAGTAAGTCTTACTGTTATTTTCCTTATTGTTTTGTTATCATAACATCTTCGTTTAGTAGTATTTATCTTTTCAATATTAAAAGGACTCTCAACGCCCGACCCAAATGAATAGTCGAACAACATATATTATGTACTGTGATATATTTGTGTGGAGCAAAAACATACTCACTCTCTTTGTTGTGCTTGTGGTAATTAAAAAGAAATCGGCAGTCATGATTGATTGAATTTCTCAACAACTTATTAACGGTTTCGGACCAAGAAAATCAAATGTAGGTATATATGATTGTGAGATGAGATATATGCATGTGCCTCTCTGTCGACATGTAATTGGTCAATCCCTGTGACTTTATACAGGCTGCATTTAATTAAAGAAATGCCTAATTGAAAAACATATAACATGCTCCGTACTGCATGTTACAATGCAGTACGAAATTAATATAAGAATGGGAATTTGATCATGTACTTTGAAAGTAAGAGTTTCTTGAACGAAATGAGTGCTGTTCTTGTATTACTAGGCACTCAATGTCCATATCCTGCCCTAAAGTTTAGGGTTACCCCATGTGCCACTTGATTAGTTTGTAAGCTAAGCAAAACCATCTCCTCTTCTTTCTTCAAAATCAACGATGAATTAAGTAGAAAGAGGCTTACCCTAAAGACTAATTCAACTTCTAAAGACTAATTCAACTTTTGTCCAATTGATGATCTATATTCTATTGGATCTGAAAGGCTATAATGAGGGCTTAAAGTGAGGAGGTTATTTGAGGAGGTCAAATCTCACCATCAACAAATGTAAAGAAATTATGAGACTTAAATATTTTAAATGTTTTGACGGTCGGATTGGTCTCCTCAAATAACCTCCTCACTTTAACTCCTCATTGTAGAAGCTCCCCTATAGGATGAAATACACAAGATGATCTATATTCTCATGCAATTTCAACTCCGGCTTGGGTTGGTGCCAAACAAAACAAAAGAGGTGCGTGTTTCCAAGCCCAATTTCAACTAACTCGTGGATGATTTTAAAAAGTTGGCCCATGCCCATGAGGACAGAAAATAAATTGTGCAGCAGAACCCACACCAAACTCACGTCGCATGTTGATTTCGAACGACACACAAATTTCAAGTTTTCAACTCCATCCATACCACAACAGATGAAAAGAGTCTTCCTAAAACAATCACATTCTATTTTATCCAAATATGTCCTCCTCCATCCACCAGCCTTTGCACAAGTCTGGTTTTTCCTACAAGTATAACAACTTGAGCCTTATTCAAAGTTCCCACTCTCATATTTGCAAACACCATGCCTTCAATTGAAAGTTAAAACAAAAGAAAGCTGGTATGATTGTAAATCAAAAGTGTCCACTTGACACGGGGTTGGGGTTGGGGTTGGCATGTTCTCAAATTCAAATTCAAATCCATGAAGGAGAAACAAAACACAAGCCTACAAACAAACCACTCTTGACTGGGTAAGTAAAGCGAAGCCAAAGACAGACAGCAGCTCAGCAGCTCAGCATCAGCAATTCAACTAAGAAACATCTGCTTCATTCATTTCATGCAACCTGCAAGAATAATATATAAGGAAGTTGGAACAACAACAATGCTTCATATTTGATAATTTGTCAATACCAACACACACAACACAGAGAGACGAGACCGAAACAAAATACAATTAATTTCTTCTTAATAAGCATTCTTCTTTGCCTTAAAATTCAAACCCACAAAACAAAAACCAGAATCAGCTTTTTTACTTCTTAATCAATATGATAAGAAGATGTATTCTACTCCAATAATAGTTAGGTTGGCAAGGTAAATATGTTTGTTGTTTAAGCTGCCCCCTAATGTGGAAAAATATCATACGAAAACTACTAAGATGGAACAAAAATAAAGGATTTATACTAACTAGAGTACAAATGATACTGAAACAAGCAAACACACCATACCATATCAGATAACATTTGTTTTCATCAAGGCCATTTGTTCAGACTAAATTTTCAAACCAGGCTGTTGTTTATTTACACAATCCCCTTTTATTTCATCCTAGTATGTCCTCCATCCACCACCCTTGCACAGGATGAAGAACTTGAGCCTTACTCAAAGTTCCCACTGTCTCTTATTTGCCACCTTCTTCTGTGCTCACATTACATAAATTGGGAATGTTTTCATCATCAATGGTCTTCAATTAAATGAAAAGAACGCTTGTATGATCGAAATTCAGAAGTCTACAATGGACAAGAGGTTTGTTGTCATGTTCTCAAATTCAAATAAATGAAGGCACGGACATTTGAAACATCAGAGGAATATCACAATGTTTTTACCATCCATCAGCAATTCAACTTACAAAAATCTGCTTCATGCAAGATTGATGACAGGAACAACAACAATACTTCATATTTGATCCTCTTGGCAACTTAAGTCAATACAATAAACACAAAACATACACGTGACAGAAACAAAACAAACAAAAGGACAGACAATAATATAACTGGTCCATCCCCATTACCAGAGTTTAGGCATCAAAATCCAAATTACCCGAGTTTAGGTACCGAAAACAGAGTTTCATTGTATGCAATCACGTTGTACACAGGTCCATCCCCATCATTAACGTTAAATGGGGTACTGCAAACCGGCTCCGCTTCTCTGCGGCATTCAATCCTTACCAACCTGTCCCTAAACCTCAACCTGAATACAACTGTACCACCTTCGGTAACGAAAATGGCTTCATAACCGTGTAAATTCCCACCCACCGCTTCAGATACATGATCCGTGTTAAATTTGAAGAGCATAGTCCAAGATTCACGCACCCCATATTCTCTCATAACCCAGAATTCCATGAAATTAACACCACCACGTCTCCTAGCAATCGAAACACAGAGGCATTCTCCTCCTCCTCTTGAAACTACTTGAACCCCCATGTAATGAACATCAACGTCATCGGCATCACCATCAAAAGTGGGGAATGGAACTTCCCTGAACTCCTCCTTTGCCAGATCAAAAGCAAGGATCGTTGGCTCCTCCTCACCGACTTTGCGGTAGAACCAATGCAGTGCTTCATTTAAAAGGGCCCCCATGCTAGAGGTGGTGGGGCTTCTGAAAGAGCACGGTGGGTCGTGCTCACGGACTTGAATGGGTTTCCAAGAGTTCAATCTGGATGAGTAAATCTCCATAAACGTCTGGAGAGGTTTAGAATAAACATCAGCATCTATGAAGATTTTGTAGTCGTCAGTGGATGACACATAACCCAGGCCAGAACGGCCAATATCAGATTCAGCGAAACGAGACACGTTTTTCACTGCACATGCAAAATCTGAGTCGGGCAATTTGCGTTTGAATCCGGTTGATGGGTTCCAGAGAGACAAGTCATGTTTTTCATAACCATCAACATCTACACATACCAAACCATTACAGCAGCCCACTAGGTTGCTAAAGTGGGCGAAGGTGAGATTATTGAGCGAAGAATTGTTGTCTGCGAACGACGGCGTTTCCGGGTCCAAGGATCGGATTTGATAGTCGGTGGAAATGAGGAGTCTCTGGGTGAGGGTTTTGCGATCGGAGGCTAGCTTGAAGTGGGATTGGGCAAACTGTGGGTCCTTAATTATGAGATAACGCCACCGTTTCGAAACGGAACTGAATCGAATCAGAGGTTTCATCGGCAACCGGCACAATATTTGGACTATAATTTCTTCAGGGAGGTAGCGGTTGTGGTGGAGCTTCTTCGTCGACATTGGAACCTTGGAAACGAATAGCCCACAGCCACAGCCAGTGGAAGGGTTTTGGGAAACTGATTTTCCGTTTTCAGAGCATTTCTCACAACAAAGGCATGAGCTTGACCCCTTTTGACTTGAGATTTTCCTTCATTTTCTGTTTCCAAATTCATAAAATGACGACCGTACATATGCTCAAGACCGTAGATGCAGTGGTGCTGAACCTGTACGGAGAATCGCTGAGGCCAACACGTGGAATTAGATTTGGCGGGTCTTCATTGCCGATTGGAATAAAAAACAAGAAAAGAAAAGAAAAGGAATTTGCTTTGGGTGTCCAGAGACTAAAATTGAGTGTCCGTAGAATCAGGGAAAAGGAATTATTTTCTGTTTCTCAGTCACTGTCATTTGATTTAATATGCCTCATTCTTTTTGTCATGAAAATCAGAAGAGGAGATTTGAAGGATTAATTTTCTGTTATTTATTATGTTTCCTTGTTTTCTGTTTATGATGGTGTTAATTAATTTATGTTTCTGTGTTACTATTGCCACACCGCTTTCCACAGATGCATGGAGGTTAGTAGAAAGAAAGAAATAAAAAACAAGGGCGCTGTTAATTTAACACTAAAATGAACTGAGTACACTTATTACCAATTTACTATTTATAAGTATTTCTGTCAAGCTCTCCGTTAATCCATGATGTGGCAGTCAATGAGCTTGGAATTAATGACGTGGCATGACTTTGACCCACTGGATTTGCGCCACATGGACAAACAATTAAATAAATAATAATTTATTTTAACAAATATAAAATATAACTAAATTAAAAAACTGGTAAATCAAAGCTTCAATTCTTTCCTTTTCTTTTTGGCCAAGCAGTTGTTGATACATACGAGTTTGCTATTCACAATAAGCAACACAGAAATCAAACTCTCTCTCTAAAGCCATCCACGAGTTTGGAAATAGAGAAGCACGTGAATAGCAAATCTCATATATATGAATATTTGGGAAACATTGTTTGTGTCCTATTTCTTGAAGGTCAAGTATGTATTCAATAGGTTTCCTAATCATACATTGACTAGTCTACACACCCTATAAAATCCTAACTTCTGTGCCGTTTTGACAACACTATTTGCTTTCTTGCATTGTATTCTCGTTCAATCTTTCAATCTCTCAAGTGGACGAGCACAAAGAAGAAGAAGATCAAATGGGGTGGCATTCGAGCAGTGACAGCGACTTTGATGGCATGTTCAATCGCAAGTTGACTAATATGGGTTGGTTGCTTGAGATTGTTAGGTTTGATACTGAGAAATATATGCAGCAGAGAGAGAATTGTCCAGCAGCAGAGAGAGAATCTGAAATTGCTGAGGCCGCACACCCAGTTGCCCCATCCATGGTGTCGTCTAGGTCCAAGGGAGAACGTTTGATGAAGGAAAAGGCACTCAAGAAGCCTGCACTAATAGAGCCAAAGAAACAAAGATCATCTGACGGACCAAAGCTTATGCACTCTGCTATTGCTTCTGCGAGAAAGACTAATTCTTTGAAAAGAAAATTCCAGAGCAGAGATGATGATGATGATGATGATAGTACTAATTGGGCGCCTGTTGAATGCAAGAAGCAAAGGATGATGATGATGTTGAAGAAGAAAAATGCCAATAAAGGCACCAGCTCGATCAACAAGATCACTCCGAAGAGAGAAGAACTAAGTAGTCTTTCCTCATCAGCTCATCATGACTTGCCTGAAGCATTTAAGAGAAAAATTGACAGTTTGGGTGGGACTAAAGTGGCTTTGGTGATACAGAAAAAACTGAGGAAAACTGATCTAAGTAAAAGTGGTAACAGGATGTCAATGCCTCTGAACCAAATCTCGTCGACTGATTTCTTGGAAGACGATGAGAGAGGTAGGCTTGAGAAAGAGGAGACAATGAAGGTTCAACTGATAGAGCCTGGTCTTGTTCAAGGAGATATAAACTTGAGACGGTGGAACATGAAAAAGAAGAATGGGAAAAGCAGCAAAATGTATGTGTTGAGAACTCAGTGGAATGATGTTGCTAAGCGAAACCATCTGAAAGAAAAAGATCTTGTTCAAGTTTGGTCGTTTCGAGTTAACGGAGCTCTTTACTTGGCTCTTGTTTTGGTTAACGAGAGTTGTGGTGGTGGTCAAAAGGAGAGCGATGATGGTGCGTATAAGAGTAGTGTTGTTGATGGTGAAATTAGTAGTGGTGGTAGTCACGGTGGTGCAGAGGTAATTGAAGAAAGGAGAGATGGGAATAATATTGGGGAAAGTAGTGTGACCAATGGGTCTAATCATACAAGTCCAAGCCATAGTGAAAGTGGCAGCAAGCATAAACAAGCTGCACACATGGAAGATAGAAGATGAAAGGTTTTTTAAAGGCTCTAACTTTTTCTTTTTATCAGTTTAAAGGCTCTAACTTTAAATCTTCTTTTTGTTTGTAAATATCAATCTAATTGAGTTTTCATCAAGGTTTGATTTTTAATACCTAAGAGGTTGTTATGCCTAAACTCAATGTTGAAAATCATAATATATATGTAACAAATGGTTGAAATTTAATTCAGTCCCAAAGAAAAACAGAAAATCTTTGAACTTTAATTACTATGCATGAATATATCTAAGGTTTTTATTATCACAAAACGTCCATCAAGTTCACGAAATTATCAAGTTGCGTCATTTATGGTTTTTTTGTGTCACTACCTGTCTCCTACCACAACAATCCGTTTGACACCCATTAAGAAACCTACGATCACCACCCCCAACCCAAAAACATTTATCATGACACCCATTCACCGCATCCGATCATGGGATGCATTGTCATTTTGATTTTCAGGTGGGGATCAGTTTCAAAGGTACCAATATTTGCCAAAGTGACAAGTTCGCAAAAGAAGGGCATCTCAAAGGCTTAGTATCAGTTTCAATTGCTGAGACTTGAAATTTGTAGGTGAGATATGCTCTAGTGATGACACAAACAAATTAACTCTAACTACAATGAAATCACAGCATTTACAGACTTCCAAACAGAACCCTTGGCTTGGGTGACTACAGTGGCTTTGGTGGCTAGGTTGGTGGGGTGTGGGAGGTGGCTGGGTAAGTCGGGGGAGGGGGCTGGGAGGAGAGAGTAAGAAATCTTTTTTTTTTTTTTAATATTTAATTCTACTTGAAAACAAAGATTTTTTATTTTTTACTACTAATTTTTATTTTTCTGTCCACATGGCACTGTGTTATTGGATATATAATCTCCACATCAGCAAACTAAGCTCATGGCAGGGACCCCTTGTGAGCACGAGTGTTAATCTTGACAACTGTTAGTGACAAAAAACACATAAAGAACACAACTTGATAATTTCGTGACGTGATAAAAAACCCTAAACGTAAAAAAATTCGGAGGGAGTGAGCATTTATGTCCAGTCCCAAGTAGTATGGTAAGTTCCTAAATGTGACTGGCAGTGAAGTGAAGTCTGCTGTTACCGAAGTGTTAGTTCCTATTATTTCTGACCTCAACAAAGCAAGAAGTAAGGATCACTCGTGCGTACATCTCATCTTTCCTTTATGATAATTTGTTGTCACCCTCCCTCCCATATAAACTAAACAAAAAGCAGAAAATGTAAAATTGAATGGCATAGACTTTAAAGAATAGCAGGATTAAAAACGTAAGTCATTAAAGGCAGCAATCAACAGCAAAGCAAATATGGCTCATTTGATAGCAGCATGCTACCCCAGCATTAACATATCAGGAAAACTCTGCGCAGAGATTTCATGTGGATTTACTACTACTCTTTCTAGACCAGCTAGGAGGACTAAATTGAAAATGATTCATTTTGAGGGGCAGTTTAAGAGATCAGAAAGTAATGCTAGTTGTTGTGTGGTGCATTGCTGCAGTACCAGTTCATCAAGCTCATCAGCTGCTGAGGAAGTTGGGTTTCTCAAATTCAAATCCAAATGAGAGGCGCATTCAATCTCCTTTGACTGCATGGGGTGAAATGAAATCATTAGAATTGGTCACAGACAGGCAGGCATGAAAAAATTGATCTCACAGGTTCCTTTCCTGTTTGCTTAAGGTGCAAGGGTATGTCTTAACAAACATGCAGTGCGTATAATATTCATGGACTGAGAAATTTCATAACATAGAATATGAACAAGTTAATCTTGTGGTGAAGCATGCTGGACTGAGAAATGCTCAAGGCATATTCCATCATCAGTTCATCTAGTGTTGTGAAGCCAACATCTTTGTGAAGACGCCATTGCACTAGTGCAGGGACTACAAAGATTGCAATGGTAAAACAAGTTTTTTTTTTTTTTCAAATTCAAATCCAATTGACAAAGATGTCCAATTGCAATGGTATGATTGCAGATCAAAAGCTGGTAAAACAAAAGAAAGGAAACCTTGTATGACTGTAAATCAAAAGTGTCCATTTGAAACAATTTTTGCCCTGCATGTCTGGTGGGTGTCCGTGAGATGTTTGAATTAAGTGCAGAAGAACATTACAATGCTTTCAGCATCAGCAATTCAACTAAGAAATATCTGCCTCATGCAAGATTGATGACAGGAACAACAACAATACTTCATAGTTGATAATTTTTGGCAACTCCAACAGTCAATACCAACAAACACAAAACATAGAGTCGAGACAGAAACAAAATACAAGGACAATAATAAACTCTCTAAATCAAGCATCAAAATCCAAATTATACAATTTGAAGTCCATAACAGAAATAATCAAAGCAGTTGGTTTTTTATTTACTGGCCTGTGATTTGAGGCTATGGTGTTACTGCCCTCTTAATCTTTCCCAATCTGCCACCTCAAGTAAAGGTGTGTTTCTATAGGGTAACTTCACATTTATTCTTGGCATTAAAATAATTTCCAGGTTCATGCTTTTGGTTTTAGGGAAGAAGAAGAATCAATTAATTCCTTCTTAATCAGCATTCTTCTTGGTCTTTCCCTTAAAATTCAAACCCACAAAACAAAAACCTTAATAAGCTTTTATACTTCTTAATCAATATGATAATAACATGTGTTCTCTCTAAAAAAATATGTATTTGCATGCATGGCCTTAGTCAAGTCGGCTAGAGCGGATATGCTCCCCACTCTACATCCGAGTTCGAATCCCCATCCCCATAGTTTAGATTAGATTAAAGTTGAATATCGCTTGTATATAAAAAAAACATGTATTCACTCCAACAACATGTGTTCACATTGACTTTGTTATGACTATGAAAGAGGTTGCCATTCCTTTATTGCAAGCCTGTTTATAAGCCTAGTTTATAAGCCTAGTTTATAAGCCTAGTTCTTGGCTTCAAAATCATTTCCATGTTCATGCATTTGGTTTT